CTTCTCTGTGGTATGACGGATTACCGGGCTTTCGTCGCAAACCCTTCTTCGTGCAGGCGGCCATCATTTTCCTCATTGCCCTCCTCTACCCTGTCCTCTCACTCTGCTGTCTCCTCGCACCGGACTCGCGTTGGGGCAATATGCTGCGGAAGCCCTTCATCAAGTTCATCTGTCAGAGCAGCGCCTACATCTCCTTTTTGAGTAAGATTTGCCTCCTCTAATTGCATGCCCCTGAAGCGCTGTTGGTACTACCTAAAGCCGTTGCATGGAATTCCAGGAGGGCGGAATGGTTTATTTTCAGTACACGAAAAGGAAAACATAGAAATCCTGGAGATTGTATTGTGAATATTTTCACGGAAAGAAATGTGATTGTGCTGCACTTTATTGTAGCTTTGAATATCACTGATGTGGAAGATGTTGGAGAGTTGAATTAAGGAATGAGGACTGTCAATCAAGTGCCATTGCACTTCCCATTACCGAGTCATTGGAATCCACCCTCATTTTATCATTTTTCCTATTACTGTCGAAGTGGATTTCACAGCTACTTTCGTGAATGTAACTAGAGGTGCTGAGGTGAAACTGTGGCAATTGAGATTGTAAATGCACTGATATTAATGCGCAGTCTCTACTGCCACATTTGCATACCTGCCCCTACTTTTAAAAAACTGTCTGGTAAGCTCTAACCATAATCGGTGTTGCCATTGTGGTATTGAAATGCTGGCCTGCGGGTGCCACTTGAGAGGTGCAAGCAGGTGGAATGAATTGGAGTGATGTGGGAGGTGTAAGGAGAAATGGGACTGTCTGCTAGTCGAGTTGCTGAAATGTGAACACAGCGCTGTTTGCAGTGTGAGTCAGTGCGGTTAGCTGCCCTTGATTGCAGCATGGGCCGAACTTCTGAAATGCCGGATGTTCGTGAATGCTTGTGTTCACTGTTCACGTGGACTAATTGGTCTCCGGTGCCGTTGTGGGAGCAGAGGTTATGCGTGGATGAGACGTGGGTGAAGGGGCTGGCATTCGGCAAGTTGACTGAATGCTCACAGTACAAAATGGAAGGTGCGTTGTGGGTTGAACACTACCACACAGCGAGAGCGGGATGGCTATGAACAGACGGAAGTTAATGCGTCATTGAAGCATTACCACCATTCCAGTATATTGCTGATAGACGTGTGTGTATGTTTGTGTGTCATCACCAGAGCGTAGGTTACTGTGCTATGCAGTGTTTGAAGTCTCCCATGGGTGCGAGTAGATATTCCAGAGATGCAGATTTTGCACCCTCTTTCACTTACTGCATCAGAGTGGGAGGGTGTAGGCTGTGGACACAGGGAATGTCGCCGACTGTTATGATTAATGGTGTGTGGACTGGCCCACGCACAGCACGTC